AGTTTTTAAGTATGTTGTGCTCAACTTGATTTAGCGAGACTTTGTGGTGTGTTATGTTTTATTAAGTTTTTAAGTATGTTGTACTCGACTTGATTTATTAATGTCATCTTTGTGATTTTTTTTTGGTTGTATCTAATGCTGATTTATAAAAAATAAAATAAAAATAATAACAAAGGTCCTAAGTAATTTATTTGTAGCATCCCAACCAAAACTAACTAATAAACAATATAATAAACCAAAACCATATTTGATCAGTTTGCGTGATGAAAAGTTAATCAAATAACTTTAAGTTCAAAAATATAAATAACGTCAACAATAACTACATATTAATCCAAAAAAATACATGCTTGCGCCTACATCTATAATGATAAAGAAAATTAAAACCAACAACTTTTGTTATAAAATAGGTAAATATGATAACCAATGATGATAAATGGATTAAAGTCTAAGATGAAGTTTTATTTTAATTTAGTTTTTTGTAAGCATAAAAATCACTATCCTATCTCGCTAGAACAATTTAGTATGATTAATAATATTATTTATTATTCTTTTTAGGTTCAATGAGGAACGAAGATGAAACTCGATAGGAAGCGGTACAATGTGGTATCATTCTTTAATCTATATATACATTAACTTTTTTAATTTTTATGTTGGTTATGTTTCTAAAAACTTAGGATATTTCATAAACGCATGATTCTAAAAACTAGTTTTTTCATATTTCGTCAAATAATATTTGTAGCAGAAAAACGAAAAAACTACAATAGAAAATACTATGCACGACAAAAGGAAAACAAACGGAGAAGAATAGCTAATGGTGAAAGAAGTAGCCGATCTACGACAATTATGCCGAATGTTGTTGCAAATCAAATGAATATCAATGAAGGAACTACTAATGATGTTGTAAGACTTGAACAAATGAGGAAAATTCATAATAAAAATTATTATGAACGATGGAAGGAACTAAACAGAAGACTATTATGCGAGACAACATGCTCCAAGAAGATCCATATACTTTTGTTTATGATGGTATCCATATGGAGCAAAATGTATTAAAAGTCCAAAATGCATGTGTTCATTGCGGAGCAAAACGATTTCAATTTGAATTCCCCAGCTTTTGTTGCATGTCGGGAAAGACAAAGTTGGCATTCTCCAATATTCACGAAGAATTACGAAATCTTTGCACATCCGATTCTGAACTAAGCAAAATGTTCAGACACAACATACGTGCATATAACACAAATTTCGCATTCGCATCAATGGGTGTAGATGTGGATAAAACAATGACCAATATGAAATCCGGAGTATATACTTTTTGTGCTCATGGAGCAATATGTCACAGAATCGATCAGTTAGTTCCAAAGAATGGAGACCCTAAGCACTTACAGTAGTATTTTTATGATGCTGACACTGAGATTTCATATAGACTCCGAAAACCAAATCTTAATAGAAGCGTCATTGAAATTTTGACCCGTGTTCTTGCTACAAATCCATACGTGAAAACATTTCGAAGACTTGCTGATCTAGGGCCACTTGACAATTATAGAGTCACTTTGAATGCATCAGTAGAACTTGACCAAAGGGTCTACAACCGACCGACCACATCTGAGGTACCATAATAATTACTAATTATAAAATAAATATATCATGTATGACATACAATTGTGCATATTACATATCATATTTAATCATATCGTTTATATGATAAAAATCTCAGGTCGCGGGTATTCGGGTTGAAGGTAATGACAACATAGCTGCATATAAACGAAGTATTATCGTGTATGGCAGATTCGACAAAGCACAAACAATTCAAGCTTACTGGGGATGTTATGATCCATTGTGTTATCCTTTGTTTTTTCCTAATGGTAAGTCTGGATGGCATTCTAATATCCCAAGCATGAATTTCCCATCAATAATATTAGTAGTTACGACGAAGATATCGAGGGGGATTTAGAAGGTACACATATAATAACTTTTTAAAATTTAGTTAAACTCACAAACATTACATTTTGTACATATCATTAATTTTTTTTTCTCCACGAAATCAACATTGTGTAGACTCTAATATAAAAAGAGGGCGGAATACTGTAAGTACGCGAGAGTACTACTGTTATAAGTTTCAAATCCGGTCAAATTATAATGTAATTTTGTTGGGAGGGAGATTACTACAACAATTTGTAGTAGATATCTACATCAAGCTTGAGACTTCACGTTTGGAACTTTGTAGAAAAAACCAGTCCAAAATAAGAGCAGATTTATACCAATGTGTTGTGGACTGTGTTAATGTCGGTGAGGTTCGACCGACTATGATAGGGCAACGTGTTGTGTTGCCAACAAGTTTCATCGGAGGCCCCCGTGACATGCGGCGACGATTTCTTGATGCCATGACTTTAGTTCAAGATGACGGTAAGCCTAACGTATTCCTTACCATGACATGCAATCCAAACTGGCAAGAAATAAAAGATGAGTTACTCCCTTGGCAGAGGGCTCAAGATCGTCCAGACCTTGTGTCTAGAGTTTTTCGTGCTAAGTTAGAGTATCTTAAGAAACAACTCGTCACGAAGCACATCCTTGGCGTAGTGGGCGCGTACGTTTATGTCATTGAGTTTCAAAAACGCGGTTTGCCACATGCACATTTCCTCATGATAATGAGACCTCCACACAAGCTTACTAATGCAGACCATTACGACAAAATAGTTTGTGCTGAAATTCCAGACCCACAAAAGTATCCTAAAATGCACGAATTATTCGTCTCACACATGATTCACGGTCCTTGCGGTAGCTTAAACTCTGACTGTCCTTGTATGAAGAATGAGCAAAAGAAAATGTCGTTTTAGATACCCTCGACAATTCAATGAAACAACATTACAAGGAAAGGATTCATATCCTGTGTACCGAAGGAGAGATAATGGTATAGAGGTGGACATACGAGGCAATAAGATGGATAACAAATGGGTGGTCCCGTATAACCCAAAGTTGTTAATGATGTTTAACTGTCATATTAATGTTGAGGTCTGCTCGAGTATAACCTCTGTGAAATATGTTTTTAAGTATATTTACAAGGGTCATGACAAACAAGTTATCAATATTGATTCGGATGGATAACCTGTTGTAATTAATAAGATAAAACGGTTTCAAGATGCACGATATGTCTCGCCTCCCGAGGCAATATGGAGGATTTTTAGCTTCCCTCTTTCTCAGATCCACCCTTTTGTGATGGCGTTGCAAGTGCATCTCCCAAATCAACAAATGGTTAGGTTCAGTGAGGATGATATGTTGACTAGCGTTGTTGAAAAAGAGAGATAACATATCAATGTTGACTGCTTTTTTTCTAAAAAATAAAGAAGATATCAATGCGAGACAATATAAATAAAAAGATTTTCCAAAAAAATTTACATGGGATCCGAGCTCACATCGTTGGAATTGTCGAAAACTAGGATTAATGCGAGGTCGTTTGGTTTCTGCTAATCCCGCTGAAGGAGACCGATACTACCTTCGCCTACTTTTATCACATATTAGTGGCCCAACATGTTTTGAAGATCTCTACACAGTCAACAACGTAAAACACCCAAAATTTCGTAAAGCAGCTCTTGAAAGAGGGTTAATAGAGTCTGATGATGGTTTATCTCAATGTCTTACAGAGGCATCTTTCTTTCAATTTCCCAATGCTCTTAGAAGGCTATTTGCAACGATATTGACTTTTTGTGAGCCAAGAGATGTTCGTAAGTTATGGGATGACCATTACAATGCTCTTTCAGAAGATTATAGGCGACAATACGGAAGTGTTGAGAGAGTCCAGAATATGGTCCTCACCGACATCATGGTATTCGTACAATCAATAGGGGACAATATTGATGATTTTGATCTTCCACAGATAAATGAAAATGTCGATTTAGAATCTGGAGTTTTTCGTGAGGTACAAGAAGAATGTTTTATAGTGTCAGAATTTGAACATTTACAAGCAATAGATTTTCTTAATCCTGAACAGAAATTTGCATATGATGAGATCATGCGACATGTCCATAATGATATTCCAGGAGTGTTCTTCATAGACGGTCCCGGTGGAACAGAAAAAACATTTTTGTACAAAGCTCTACTTGCTAATATTCGTTCGTGTGGTCATATTGCACTTGCAACCGCTTCATCGGGTGTTGCGGCTAATAACATGCCTGGGGGAGAATAACTTACTCTCGCTTTAAAATTCCTCTCAATCTTGAAAATAACTCAGTCTGCATGATTTCAAGACAAAGTGGTATTGCTCAGCTACTTCGGATTGCAAAGGTAATCATATGGGACGAAGCGTCGATGGCTAAAAGACATGCATTGGAGGCGGTTGGCCATACAATGAAAGATATCACTGGGGTGATGCTCACAATTGGTGGAAAGATAATGGTTTTGGGAGGTGATTTCAGACAAGCGTTGCCGGTCGTTAGACGTGGAACACGGGCACAAACTGTGGATTATAGCATACGAATGTCGCCTCTTTGGTCTTCGATTATCAAGTTGCGATTAACTATAAATATGAGAGCACTAACCGATCCATGGTTCTCAGATTTTCTGTTACGTGTCGGTGATGAAGTTGAAGAAACGGTGCATGAAAACTTTATTCGTATCCCTGATGATATGGTAATTCCCTTCACCGAAAAAGAAAAGTCATTAAATGCTTTGATTGATGCAATCTTTCCATCTTTGGAAATTAATAGATCTAAATCAGCTTATATTATTTCCCGTGCAATATTATCCACAAGAAATGATAGCGTCGATGAGATTAATGATCGTTTGATTGGCCGATTCATTGGAGAAGAGAGAATTTACTACAGTTTTGATGAAGCTATAGACGATATAAATAACTTCTATCTTGTGGAATTCTTGAACACACTCAGTGTTAGTGGTTTACCCCCTCATTACCTACGACTGAAAGTTGGATGTCCGATAATACTGTTACGAAATCTTGACCCATCAAATGGATTGTGTAACGGCACCCGATTGATTTGTAAAAGTTTTCAGCATAATGTAATTGATGCCGAAATAGCTGTTGGCCAACATGCTGGAAAGATGGTATTTTTGCCAATGATACCTCTATGTCCATCTGATGAGAACATGTTCCCGTTCAAGCTGAAGAGAAAACAATTTCCAATTCGATTATGTTTTGCGATGACAATCAATAAAGCTCAGGGACAAACAATTCTAAATGTAGGAATTTATCTTCCAGAATCGGTTTTCTCACATGGCCAACTTTATGTGTCATTATCCAGAGGGATTTCACGCGCCAATATAAAAGTATTAGTGATCCCTGATGGACAATTCAACGATGGTGGAGTCTATACATCAAATGTGGTATATAAAGAAGTGTTGCACGATTAATAAGGCATAATCAATTGTATGTCTTCATATACATTTGTAAAGAATCCCAACTTTTAATTTTTAATTTTTATTGTTTTTGTTTCTGTTAGCATGACTCTTATTGATAATTATTTGCATAACGAACTAATTGCCTTTAGAGATGTGTAGACCATTCAAATTTACAAGTTACCATATTCCAAAGCAAATTAGATTTTAATCTTAGGGGTTTACCTTTTCATTACCTTCGTGTCAAAGTTGGGTGTCCAATCATACAAGTTTCCGAATAGAAATAATTGCTGAATAAAACTATTCACACCCGTCGCTTGACGCGGGTAAACGTCTAGTATATATATATATATATATATATATATATATATATATATATATATATATATATATATATATATATATATATATTATATATTGTTAATGACATTATTTTTGACATCATAATTTTAGTTTTATATACGTATTTATATTTTATTATTATTAATCGTTATTAATAATAACTAATTAGACAATTATTTATGTTAATATTTGAAAACTATATAATGTAAAAATGTGTTAATTAATATTAATATGTATCAATAAAAAGTAAAATAATAATCATTACTAAATTACTAGTATAATACATTTAACTAAAAGATGCTTTTTTTAATAGTTAATTTTTTTAATAAAAGCAATTTTTTAAGTAAATAATGGTGTTTATTTGATCAATCCCATAAAAATCAACATGCCAAATCTACGCTACCATAAAAACAACTTTAAAAATGCTCAATGATTCACATTGCCATGCGTTATAAGGTCATAGTGTCGTACACTTTCTAGAGTCTTGCTCAAATTGTTAACCAATATTGTTCCAGTTTTTGAGTTTTAAGGACGCGCTTATTTTAAACAACGGAACCAACAAACTAATCTTATTCATACAAATTTATCACTTAGAGTTGTGGTACATACATGATTCAAACAAAAAACTCACTTTCTTTATTCTTTTATTTAAATTTTATTACTAAGTTTTTATAAAAAAAATATATCAAAATTCATAATTTTTTTTTTCAGTCATCCAAAGATTGAATTTTTTACTATAACAAAAACTATTCGTTTTGTTATTATTTAAATAGTTAGTTTTATTTTTATCCAAAAAATAAAATAAATATATCAAAAATAATAATTCTTTTTATATATTCTTTAATAGACATTTATATTGATGCATAAAAAAAATTCAAAATTTTAACTTAGATTCACATTATTAATACGAAAAACTGAATTATCTTCGGTTAAAAATCACAATTTGAATATTAATAAGCTAAATTCACATTGTGAATTTTAAAAACTGAATGTTATATAAAGTTCAGATTCACAATGTGAAAAAAAAAATTCATTTGTAAATTTGACAAAACTAATTTATGAGTAATTAAAACTTTACAATATTATAAAATTATAAAAAATATACTTTGATTTACATGTAAATTTCACTAAATTAAATTATCAATGATCAAAATATTGAAATAATAAATCAGATGTACATTATGAATGATAAAAAAGTGAATTATTCACAATCCGACCAAATCAAGATAAAAAAATTATATCTATGTTGATGTCTATTTATTGACAAAAATATTTTAAAATTTTGGTTTATTTAGTTTTTTTAAACAAAATAAACCTAAATATTGGGGGAAAAAACAAAATAACAAAGTGACCTTTTTTTTTATAACAAATATTATTTTACATACCAACATAGATGTCTATGGAAAAAAAAAACTTATAAATTTCGTTATATTCGGTTCTTTACTATAAACTTATCCTAAAAACAGGAAAAAAAAACAAAAAGAACGATAGTTTTTTTTGCTATGATCCTATGCATCTGTGCGTCTAGCCTCTTAAGATAGATTATATCGATGCAATGTCTATTTATTGACAAAAAATTAAATTTTTTTGGTTTATTTAGTTTTTTTAAACAAAATAAACCTAAATATTGGGGAAAAAAAACAAAATAACAAAGTGACCTTTTTTTGATAAAAAGATTATTTTTTACATACCAATATAGATGTCTATGGAAAAAAAATTATGAATTTTGGTATATTCGATTTTTACTACAATTTATCCTAAAAATAGAAAAAAAAACAAAACAAAAAAAAACAAAAGGAACATAGTTTTTTTTCTATGATCCTATGCACGTGTGCGTCTAGCCTCTTAATATGCACCTAATTTTTGCATACGTACGTAGGTACACAAGCACGCACGTATATGAAAAGGTTTAAGCATTTAAGTTCCAATGTTATTTAAACTCTTGTTCCATATGTATATATGAAAGTATGAGATATTTTTGATCTTCTACCATCCATGAAAAAAGAAAACCTATGTTGTTTATAATAAAAAATACATAATACAAAATGAATAATGGCTTTTCAGATACTTCAACTGGATTACCTTTTTTCTGAAAACAAAGTTTTTATTTAACACACACCAACAACATTACATCCACCAAGTTTGGCAGTTATCAAAATAGTCTTGATACACATCGTTAATAACAAATATTCAAGTGAACATTCAAAATAGCACAAGAAAGTACCTGCCTGCAATATCTGAGATTGGCCAACTTTTTTTTTTTGAAATTTCTGACCCTAGGCAACAAATTATTAAGCTTTGTTTAGAATATAGCAAAAAGTAAAATAAATAAGTTCTGGAGTTTAAAGAAACTTACAGTGTTTACTTGGAGGAAGAGGATGATGATTCAGTTTGATGATCTTGGAGAAGATCATCATAAGGGTCCCTACGACCTTCAACTTGGCTAATTTGGGCATCCCAAAAGATTTGAGCATTGTGGCGATCAAATGTCCAGAAACCATAAGGGCGAATTGGGTAACTCCACATTTCCTTTGTTTTTGCACAACGTTCCTTCATGTGATATGTATGTTCTCTGAATTTTCTGTCTCTTTCAACTGGATCTTCCATCATTCTCAGGATTAAGTTCTCAGCAAACTCCATGATGAAAGACATCTCTATGAACAGTGTGATTATGGATCAGAATGGTTGAATCAAAAGCTAAAACTTCAGACACTAACATGAAATAAGAGCTTCTAACAAATTAATCATGACTCAAAGTAAGTGAGCCGAAAAGACAAGTTATAGACTAAATCTGAAATGAAACACAATGTTTTTCAGCAATATCGAGATATTACAGGCGAACAGACAAATAAACGCAAATGAAGCGTCCAGTTGATGATAAATCCAATAATTAACAGAGGATGAGTTCTTTAGATCTAGACTCTGACAATAAAAAATAACATATATTGAATCGAACACCAAACCCTAGGTTTCACAATCAGTTCGACATAGAACGGACTAAATTTCAAAAAATCGAATCAAACTCAACAGCTCTATAAACATTACAAGAATCGGTAACATAAATTTATTGAAACAATATTCACGAATCGATCAGGTGAGCAGGTTTTACATATCACAAAACAATTGATTTGACCATTTAATACAAAATCAAGACCAACAGATGATATTCGAAAGAAAATACAGCCTCAAATCGATCGACAAAATCGATTAGCTAAACTTGGAATATGTAATTACCTGCTCGCCTAATAAAATCGATGAAGATGAAGAGGAACAACCACAGCAAGCGAGCAACTATGAAATCAAAATACGTCTGGCCGAAACTTCGTTGAAAAACTGTTCAATTTAATTTGGGCCATGACAGAGTTTGGTTTCCCTCAAAATAATAGGCTTACGCACTCAGCCTCGATCCTAAGATAGTATGTGGATCCGGCCCATTTAAATAACAGAACAATTTTGTATATACCTTTATTAAATATTTAAATACGGTATTTGTCCGATTTAAATTCTAAATATAATATTTAAAATATTGTATTTTTAGTTTTTAACAGTTTTTGTAATTTAATAATCCTTTTTATGTTTTAAAATCATTAAAAATAAAATAACAAAATAGACCATAATACCCTTGTCTTCTAAATCATAGGTATACCTTATTCCTGCGACATGGTACGAATTCTACTGGCCAATCAACATAGGAACTGTGTCTTTTTTTTTCTGCTTTTCTTCTCGTCAAATCTGTTGCAATCGACTACATCATCAAGTAAATTTAAGATTTTATTAGTTAATGGAATATTCAATTCGTTGTTAGATGTATGGATCGCTTCAATTTTTGTTGAGAAACAACTAACAAAAAAAAACAAAACATCACAAGTCAATCTGGACTTTACTTTTGGATGAATGGAGTCATAAAAAAGTTAACCTTCAATCGAAGAAGTTTAATGAGCGTAATCTATCCAGTAACAATGCATTCTGTCCTGCTGTTTCCACTATCGCTTCTGTTCCTAACCCATGTCCAATTGGATCCGGGTGCTGCAGAATTCCAATTCAAAACCCAAAAGATTAAAAAATGAACTAAAACTCACAACATATTATAAAACAGTTTACAAATATAATCACCCTAATTTGGAACCTTTATGTAGTCACAAACACAATTGATAAACATATTACAACTACAATCACCCAATCCCCTAATCTCCTTTCAGCAAAGAAAGTTTTTAAAATACTCCAATTTATCATGAACTTTAAATTTTCATTTAAACAGAGAACACCCATTGATGACCAACGGCTTAGTATTTGGATCAAAAGTTAACCCGATAATTAAAAACAAAGTAAAACAGCAACAACGCTCCTTCTGAGATACAGTCGTCACCACCCAAAAGGAATCGCCGGACAATCCAACTTGAAATTCTCGATACAGATACAACACGAGATTCTCAAATCAGCCTCCAAGATCACCTCCTAATCCTGCCAAAATTAGGATAGCAATGGAAAATAATCTCTAAACTTAGAGAATTAATTTTAAGGAAACCTCCAAAAACTGTCTTCTTTCCATTCATGATTCCTCCATACATACAGGGAAAAAAAGGAAAACAAAACCCACCACCAACGTAGCTACATTTAGGGAAAGTAAATAACTGCTGTAGAGAAGCCAAAATAAACTAAAATAATAAGGAAAATAAAATAACATGGAAATAAAACAAAATACTCTTGACTGATATGTAGAGAAACACATGGGGTAATATCTACAATCAAGTGATGGAAGGTTTTGATTGAATTAGGCTGACCCATGTGTTCACGTGATTGGGTTCTGGAGTCGGTTTCGGGTCCGTCATATTGGGCGGGTCTTTAGGAACTTGCCTATCATCCTCCCCAGCTTCAGAAAAGTTTGCCCTCAAACTTGGAATAGGATCAGCAGGGTCATAGTAAGGTTCAATATCAGCTACATTGAACGTGGCTGCTTCTTTAGGAGTTCCAGGCAGGCTGACCTTATAAGCATTGTCGTTAACCCGTGCTAAAATCTTGAAGGGACCATCAGACCTGGGGCTAAGCTTGGATCGACGTTTGGCGGGAAACCGGTCCTTGCGAAAATGAACCCATACGAGATCACCCAGTTGAAATAGGATGTGTTTGCGTCCTTTATCACGCCGGTACTTAAGGAGTTCATTGGACTTTGTGATTTTATCATGTACATGTTGGTGCAAAGCCTTAATCTGAGTAGCTCGGTCGCTAGCTTCCGGGTTAAATTTAGAAGATGTATTAAGGACGGCGAGGTCAAGCGGTGTCTTCGGGTTCAATCCATAAACGACTATAAAAGGACTAAGGCCAATACTCTTGTTGGGAGCCCGATTATAAGCAAACTCAGCCTGAGGTAATAAATCTTCCCACTGTTTCAGATTAGTAGTGATGAGAGCACGAAGCAGTGATCTGAGGGTGCGGTTGGTAACCTCGGTCTGTCCATCTGTTTGTGGGTGACTAGAGGTACTAAATTTGACTTTAGTACCCATTTTTTGCCATAAAGTTATCCAAAAATGGCTAAGAAATTTGACGTCCCGGTCACTAACCATAGTACTTGGAATCCCATGGAGGCGAACAATTTCTTTAAAATAGAGATTAGCCACCTGCACAGCATCATACGTGGTATGACAAGCAATGAAATGCGCCATTTTTTAGAAACGGTCAACCACCACTATAATAGAATCCTTTTGACGTTGTGTCCGGGGTAAGCCGATGATAAAATCGAGACTAACGTCTTCCCACGGAGCAACGGGTACAGGTAATGGCATGTATAATCCATGGGGAAAAGAGTGACCTTTGGCTCGGTGGCAGGGTAAACAGCGACGGACAAAATGCTCTACATCTCACATCATCTTGGGCCAAAAAAATTGATTCTGCAACATTGTGAGGGTTTTATCTATACCCAGATGTCCTGCTAAACCAGCTTCGTGGGTCTCTTTGATCAACAGTACTCGAATACTATGTTGAGGTATACATAATCACTCTCCCCTGAAAAGAAAACCATCAGACAAGTGATATTTTCTCGTAGCATGATTTTGACAGCTAATAAGCAGCTCCCCGAAATCAGGATCAGAAGAATATTCGTGCTTGAGGAGTTCGAGACCAATAACCTTCAGCTGTAGAGAATTAATTAACGCATACTTACGAGACAAAGCATCAGCCCCCTTGTTTAATTTCCCTGACTTGTGCTTAATAGTGAAAGTAAAGGCTTGTAAATACTCCACCCATTTGGCATGTCGAGGCTGTAATTTGTGTTGGCCCTGAATGTCCTTGAGTGCTTCATGATCGAAATGCAATATAAACTCCTTAGATATCAAATAATGCTGCCAATGGTCTAAGGCTCTAACGATTGCATAGAATTCTTTATCATATGTTGAGTATCGTCGTTTCACATCATTAAGCTTCTCGCTAAAGTAGGCAATTGGACGACCCAACTGTGACATAACAGCCCCAATTCCCACTCCTGAAGCATCATATTCAACCTCAAACACCTCATCAAACACGGCAACGCCAGCACAGGAGTAGAGGATAATTGTTTTTTTAGTTCTTCAAATGCGGCTTGTGCTTGAGGGTTCCAAACAAACTGTTTAAGCTTGGTAATTTCAGTCATGGGTGCCACAATAGTACTAAATTTTTTTCACAAAACGTCGGTAAAAGGAAGCCGATCCATGAAAGCTTCGAACTTGTTGAATAGTTTGAGGAACCGGCCAATCCCGAATGGCTTGAAACTTCTTTTTGTCAACCTGGATCCCCTGAGCAGAAACTAAGTAACCAAGAAATGCTATTTGGGTAGTAAAGAAGCCACACTTTTCTAAGTTCCCATAGAGCTTTTCATGGTCAAGTACTTCGAATAATTGTTGGAGGTGTGATTGGTGATCTTTTTTGGTTTGACTAAAGACCAATATATCATCGAAATACACAACAACAAATCTGCCTAGAAATGGTTTTAATACATGATTCATCAATCGCATGAAAGTACTCGGTGCATTTGATAAGCTGAAAGGCATAACTAACCATTCATACAACCCCTCCTTTGTCTTAAAAGTTGTCTTCCACTCATCTCCTTCATAAATTCTGATCTGATGATAACCACTTCTCAAATCAACTTTTGAAAATACTGTGGCACCATGTAGTTCATCCAATAGATCATTCAACCGTGGAATCGGGAATCGGTACTTGATAGTGATCTTATTGATTGACCTACTATCCATACACATTCGCTATTCTCCATTCTTTTTGGGCACTAGAATAGTGGGGACTGCACATGGGCTAAGTGACTCGCGAATAAGTCCCTTTTGTAGTAGCCCATCAACTTGTTTCCTAATTTCTTCTGTTTCTTGGGGGTTGGATCGATATGCAGGTTTGTTAGGTAGAATGGAACCGAGAATGAAATTGATTTTATGTTGAATGGTGCGTAGAGGAGGTAAACCGGAAGGGATTTCAGCAGGAAATACTTGGTTATATGATTGTAAGAGGGAATGAACATAAGGGTGTGGGTATGTTGGTGTGTTGAGTTCTTCTTCATCAAGGCCCAGGAGTATGAAGTCCTTACAAAAATAATACTCCTGATGTTCAGCTTTCAACAGTGTACTCAAAGACTGGGTAGGATTATTGGAAGGAGTGGTTGGTGACATTGGTGTGAGCACAATTCGGTGGTTATTGTGGTTGAAAGAGTAAGTGTTTTGGTATCCGTCATACATGACCTGACGATCAAATAACCAAGTGCGACCCAAAAGTACATGACAAGCATCCATAGGAATGACATCACACCAAATCTCATCTGCATATGTCTTACCAATACTCAAAGATAATAGAATTCGATGAGAAACACGTATTCCTTTACCTTGATTGAGCCACTGAATCACATAAGGAGATGGATGAGGTTGGGTAGTCAGATTTAATTTGGACACCAAGGTTTGAGAAGCAACGTTAGTGCAACTGCCTCCATCAATAATTACGGTGCAAACCTTTTGAGCAATGGTACAACGCGTATGAAAAATGGCTTCACGTTGCAGGTTCCCACCTTGATCAGGAGTGTTGCTGAGTGCCCGCCGAACAACAAGACATGTTCCCTCATCAGGTCCAACAAGTTCCTCAACAACAGATTCAACATCCACACCTGCTTCCAATGTTGTGTCAACTACGAAGGAATTATCTACCCCTTCGTACTCAGCTAAAGTGATCATTTTTTTGTTTGGACACTCGGAGGCAATATGCCCTAATCCCTGGCATCGAAAACATCTTCACGAAACACGGTTTGGAGTTGATGAATTTTCAGGTATAGTGGGAGTTTTGTTGTTTGGTACTGTTTTGGGTTGGGTTGAGTTTTTAGTAAAGTTTCGTCCAGCTTCAAACTTTCCCTTGTTTCGTTGCTGGTTATCTACCTTGTGGGCCAACAGGTTCAATTCATCTAGAGATGAGTAAGGGTACAACTCCACAATATTAGCAGCACGGATATCTAATCCCCCCCAAATATCGTACCAGAGTCCGCGGGTCATCCTCGGGTAGATCACACTTCATAAGTAAATACTCGAATTCCCGAGAGTACTCCTCTACTGGTCGTTGATTTTGTCTAAGATGGTGTAATTGGGAAAAACTTGCCTGAATGTAATAGGAGGGCAACAATTTCTGTTTCATTAATTTTTTCATCTTTGGCCATTCCTTAACCTTCTTCTTTCCCAACCGCTCCCGCTTAATGCACGTATTAGCCCATCATGTTGATACATACTTTCTCAATTTCATGGCTACAATCTTTACTTTGTGTTCATCAGATGTTTCTTTGTAATCAAAGGCACATTCTACTGTTCTCATCCATTCTACAAACTCGTCAGGATCGAGTTTTTCATCGTACTCAGGGATTTCAACCTTAATATCACTAGACCGCCACTTACCAGGCCCTCTCGAACGAATCCCTGATCCACCAGTATCGTTATCATCTTCATCTCGACGGTTAATAGAGAGTTCAAGGATCTGATCTTCCATAGCCTTCATCTTTGCAGCCATTGCTCTTTTTTCAGCCTCAAGACTTTCAAGAGCTTTCTTCAACTCAGCAGAACTCCGGGTATCCATAGCTCTGATACCAAATGATGACCAACGGCTTAGTATTTGGATCAAAAGTTAACCCGATAATTAAAAACAAAGTAAAACAGCAACAACACTCCTTCTGAGATACAGTCCTCACCACCCAAAAGGAATCGCCGGGCAATCCAACTTGAAATTCTCGATACAGATACACCACTAGATTCTCAAACCAGCCTCCAAGATCACCTCCTAATCCTGCCAAAATTAGGATAGCAATGGAAAATAATCTCTAAACTTAGAGAATTAATTTTAAGGAAACCTCTAAAAACCGCCTTCTTTCCATTCATGATTCCTCCATACATACAGGGAAAAAAAGGAAAACAAAACCCACCACCAACGTAGCTACATTTAGGGAAAGTAAATAACTGATGTAGAGAAGCCAAAATAAAATAAAATAATAAGGAAAATAAAATAACATGGAAATAAAACAAAATACTCTTCACTGATATGTAGAGAAACACGTGGGGTAATATCTACAATCAAGTGATGGAAGGTTTTGATTGAATTAGGTTGACCCATGTGTTCACGTGATTGGGTTCTGGAGTCGGTTTCGGGTCCGTCTTATTGGGCGGGTCTTTAGGAACTTGCCTATCACCCATGTTCGATGAACAAATATAAAACCCACACACTCATAATTAACTAAATTTAAGCATACATAGGCACAAAATTCAAACGTACCTTCATGAGGGAGACGACGTAGTAGGTGTAGGGGTTTTGAGCGAGTAGTAGGTGTAGGGGTTTTGAGCGAGGAAAAGAACAGGGGAATGGTGGATTTTGGGGTGGCGTTTGACACATGTAAGGGGTGCCCTCCATGGTGCATCCTTTTGTAGCACATCTCTTCCTTTCTTTGACATTAATTGGTTATTTGTTATGGTTGAATAGTGAGGGAGGACTAGGAAGGATGAAGGAATGAGGGGTAAATTGGTCGATCCAATTTATAGTTCTAATATTGAAGGGTAATTTAGTCAATCAGCTTTTTTTTTGATAAATTAATATGATTATAAAATATAAAAAATTGATTAAAAATGTTTAAAAAATAGATTTGGACAAATCCAATATTTTATAAGATTAAGAAGGAAAAATACGTTATTTAAAGTTAAGACTGGGTAAATACAATATCTTAAAGCTTAACAAAGGTATATACATAATTCTCCATAAATAATGAAATCGCACGTGCAAAAATAAGGTTTAATCCTAAAGGTTTAACACTTTTTATTACGAAAAAAATTCAAAAATAGATTAATCATTATAGTGAGATTTTTAACAAAATTAATTAATTTTGTGTGGTTTAGTAAAATAGCCATTTGATTAAATATACTTTTGGTCTCCGTGGGTTGTCCACAACATCAATTTTGGTCATGGTATTGTGATTTGATCATAGAAATCTCTATTGCAATGTTTGATAATAGTTTTGGTCTCTAGACTTAACCTCATATGTTTATTCTAGTTAGTTACATGAGAAAAGACAATTTTCCTGGGATCTCTCGTTATGTATAATCGTAAGATTTTCTGTTAACTGAAAATTACATTAATGAATGGGTTTTTGAAGTATATGTTTGTAACGCCCGCTTTTCTGGCTAAACATTAATATTATGATGTAATAGTCAGGGTCAACAATTGCAACCTGTTTTGAAGTAATAAAGAAGAATTATTTGAGTATTATGTGATTTATGTGCTTTTATGTGCTATGTGTTTATAATGATATAATAAAATAATAATAAAAATATGCGTCAAAAATAAAATAATAGATAGATCCAATATCTATGAAGAAAGTTGAAGTGGTCGGGATATTGATTCCGGAGATATAAATAACGCTAAATTCCGACTTATAACGAAGAAGTTATGACCCGTCGAAGTTTTGCGACAAAACCGGTACGATGTTGTGTATCGTAAAAAGTGAGTTTGCGATAAAACACTTTTTAACCTTATAAATCTAAAGGAAAGTCATAGTAGACGTTAAAACGAGAGTGTACATATAGAGAACATCCAAATCTGACTTCGTTAGAGGAGGTTATGATTTTTCGAAGATTTGGCATAGCAGTATGCAGCCCGGAAATCGAATTTTAGATCGATCGATTTTTAGCCGACACAATCTAAATGAGAATCAAATATCTCGTTAATAGGAGCTCAATGATATAAAGACAGACGAAAATGGACGTCGGATGACAAAGTTATGAAAATTTAACGGATTTTATTTTTCTAAGACTGTTAAAATATAACTTTAAAAACAAAGTCAAAATTAGCTGACGGAGTCTATACAAAACTTGTAGATCACGTCGCTACCTACGCGCGGATATAAAGAACGTCAAAAACGGAGCTCGTATGTGAAGGTTACGGAATTTAGAAGTTAATTAAATTAAGGGTTGAGATGCGAGGCTGACACGTGACACAATCATGACTGTTGCTTCCTCCCATGCCTTGCCACCGAATCTCGACACGTGGCCCGCGTAGGCCCAACATAGGGCTTCATATTCCCAGCGTACCGAGTACGCCCTGCGTACTCCGAGTTCCCAACCTATAAATAGAGGCGTAGACCACCTCATTTCCTCACACCAAAACCATTCTTTCTCTCTCAAATACCCCCCTTAGCCCTCCCCTTCCCTAGCACTTCCCAAGTGTTAGAGGCGAAGCCCAGAGCGCCAGAAGGCTCCGAGAAGAAGAGCTTTCATCTTAGAAGTTCTGCTCCTGAAGAGCCCGACTCCTAGCTAAAGCCCCTCGTAAGTGAGTTATGCTTACCCTACTTTAAGTATAACTTGTGTTTAAGTTCATTATCGTTATTATGAACCTATAAAAAAGATTTATCAGTGATTCCAAGTCGTTATATTGATTGATCTACTTACGGGGATTATGTCTAGGCTGTGATTTAGTGAGGTGTTTAAAGTGAGATTTCCAAACAGTATACTTCGTTTACCAAACGGACCCTACCACCGATATGATCCTACCTGCTTATTCTTTACTTGATAGATCTTGAAGTAGACTTTGAGTTAATGATAAATCTAGACTAATAATTAGTCGCAATAAATATTAGACTGAAATCTAGTAATAATGATACTAGGTTTCGTCGAAGGAAAAGAAAATTGTTAGAAGCGAAGCGTTGCCCGAATTTCGAGTCATCGCTTTAACAAGTGAGCGCATAGTTACTTTCATCTTACACATAGATATGAAGTATTTAGTATAAATTACGTGCTATGTGTGCATATTACATGTGTTCTTGATATCTATGTTGGATGAACAAAATATACATGTTTATTCGATTTAAATTGTATATGTATTTTATACCTATAAATATGATGGGTAAAGATGGGTAGATGAAAGATGAGATGAATGATGAGATATGAAAGATGATATATATGATCAGAGGTGAAAGATTGTAAGTCCCAATTCTGCTTGTGTATCAATCAGATCCAATTGATGGTGCAGAATCCCAATCATTTGGATGATGCTAGATCAAAACAAAGAAGAAGGAGAAGAAGAATAATATGAATCTATGATGTATTCAATATTGGAATGATGAACAATACACAAGATTCACACACACTTGCACCTTCTCTCCTTTCTCTCTCTACAATATGCTCTCCTTTTCTAGCCGTGAACTCTCCTCTTATCCCCCTTGTCTAGTCGTACACTCCTCACCCACCTAACATCTATTTATATGGCACATGGGCCGTGAATGGGTTCACGGCTGTGAACCAGTTCACAGCCGTAAACACAACCACAAACACCTATTACATGACTGAAAAATACATTTTGCTAGAAAAGTAAAGCATAAACCAATATTTTGACCCAACAATCTCCCCTTTGGTTTATAGCTTTCTTTTCTAATTGACCCAACAAGGTCCCCCTAAAAAGTAGCTGACTTTTCTTGTCAATCTTCATTTGGAGCTTGGCTTCAGCATTTATCTTCGATTTCTTCAGAACTTCAAGATGAACATGATGAATCTTCAATAAATGACTTCATCTTGAGCACTTGGACTTTTCTTCAGAATTTGGCTTTGAACGCACGTTGGGTGAGGAGGCTTCTTGAAAAGATTCTTGAAAGATGGTGCTTTCAGCTTGAGAATATTCAGAGAGAACAATAGAGAGATCTAATCTTCTGGATCACTTC